GGGGTTGCTTTGGATCTGTGGATTGCTTTGGGAAGTGTGGCCGTTTTGATAGTGTTGATTCTTCCAATCCAAGAGCATGAGAAATCTTTCCATTTCTTTGTGTCATTTCCATTTTTGGAGTATGGGTAACCTCATTGGTTAAGTTTATTTCTAGGTTTATTGTTGGTTTTGATGTAATGGAAACGTTTCTGCCAGTTATAAAATTCTGGTTTTTGAAGTGGAAAAAAAAGGAATGAAGGGCTGCAAATGGCAAAATATCCTTTGTTATAGGTGAGTTGTATTCCTTTACATAATGTATGCTGCATCTTCATTATCTATTCAACTATTGATGTGCACTTATGTTGCTTCCATATCTTGGCAGCTATAAATAATGTTGCTGTTAATAGCAGGGTGTATGTATCTTTTTGAATTAATTCTTATTTTGTGGTTGGCTTTATTCCTTTGATAACTATGTAAGTTTAAAAAGCTAAAGCTCTAAACGTTCTTAGAAACAATGAACAGTACATATATGTAAATTAAAAAATATATGTGCAGTTAAAAAAAGAGCTATCAAGCCATGAAAGACACGGAAGAAACTTAAAAGATATTACTAAATGAAAGAAGCCAGTCTGAAAAGGCTACAAATTGTACAATTCCAACCAAATGACATTCTGGAAAAGGCATAGCTACAGGAATAAAAAGATCGTGGTTTCCAGGGGTTTGGGGAGAGGGAGGGAAGGAGGAATGACTAGATGGAGCACAAGGGATTTTTAGGGCAATGAAGTTATTCTCTATAACACTATAGTGGTGGCTACATGTCATTATGCGTTTGTCAAAACCCATAGAATGTACAACAAGAGTGAACCCTAAAGTAAATTATGGGCTTTGGTTGATAATAATGTGCCATGTTGGTTCATCCATTGTACCAAATATGCCACGCTTGATGAGTGATGTTGAGGGTAGGGGAGTATATATGTGTAGGTGGAGCGGGATATGTGTGAACTCTGTATTTTCTGCTCAATTCTGCTGTGAACCTAAAACTGCTCTAAAAAAATAGTCTATTAATTAAAAAAAAAGGAGATATGTAAATCTGTTTAAAATAACAAAACTCTTATGGGAGACAGGTTAACCTCCAGTATGGAAATAGAGCTCTTTCATGGTAGAGGTGTTAGTAAGACGGAGCGAGAACTTGGCACAAAGTTTGTCACATAGTAGGTACCTTAGAAAGTAAATATGAGTACCGTTGACTCACGGCAACAGACCTAAATTAGACCAATTCATAAACAGTATAAAACTGCACGATAGACGAAGAGAACACATACGGAAAGATTTCATGGCCTTCCTCGGTGACAACAACGCCTATACTGTAAGTGAAGGAAACCAGGTATGTCACTCCAAAATATGTCTCTTTGACATAAAAATTATTTTGAGCTGAAGGCAATTAAGAAATTATAAACACAGAGAAGATTCCCCTTCCTTGTTGAAAGGTAGGAAATAAATTCTTCTTTTAACGCGCATAGACTCTTACCAGCCCACAGATGGCACCAGAGGAATCTTCAGACCAACCTCATTAACTGAAGACCGGGGTTAGCAGTTTTAAGGGAACTACCACCAGCCCACTGTCCTGGCAGTACTTCACAAATTTATCCGTTCTTGGTCGAAAACATACAATAGCTTCCTGCTCTGGTCACGTCTTCAGGATTTCGTTCCCCTGGGAAGCTCCTATGCCCCAGCAGGGGTCCCAGCATTTATAAATTCCGCTATTCTGAATTACACTCCCTCTCACGTCTGTGGAGGAACAGGTCCTCCCCCGCAGGGAGAGAGGCCTTCTGAAAGCCTTGCGGACTACTGAGTCGTGAACTACATTTCCCAGAAGTCTCTGAGGCACAGCTCCGTTAGTGCCGTTGTGGAGTTGCATGCTGGGAAACAGAGCCAGCACGCTTCCAGCTCCGCGGATTCCCGGTTTTCTGGACTGCATTTCCCAGAGGGCTCTGGGGCACGGCCCCGTCAGGAGCGCGCGGAGTTGCATGCTGGGAGCCGCGCGTCCTGCGCAAAGGATTTTTTTCCCTCCCAAGCTCTGGTTTCCTGGTGACGCTGTCCGGAGTTAACGCCAACGCTTACGATCCCTCCTAACGTCCTGCTGATGGTTGGGCCCCAAGCGGTGAGTTATTAGCATCCCATGAGGAAACACGCGCCGAATGCCGCAGCGATGGTGGTGAGGGAGAAAGCCAGGGGGCCCGAAACGTACCCTCGGCCTCTGGCTGCGGGAGCGGCTGCGGAGGAAGTGCGAGCGTGTGTGTGTGTGCGTGTCTGTGTGCGTGTGCTTGTGTGACGGGCTCGGCCGTGTGCATTGACTGAGGTGTGCGCATGAGCGTCGGTCAGGGAGACAGGCCCTATCTTTGTGGTGGTGACGCACTTGTCTGTTGTGTGTGATGGGGACGCAGCGGGGCCCCGTCCCCAGGGCTGTGCCTCGCGTGCGTGTGAGCGTGACTCCGCCACTCTGCTCTGTGTGAGTTACACGCGTGTGGGGTCTGCGGGGGTGGCGGGACCCAGTTATGTCTCTGTGGCTGTGAGATGTGCTTTTGCATTTCTGTGGGGTTGGCAGAGCCGTTCGCCGTGTCTCTGGCGTGGGCGTCAGTCGATGTGACAGAGCCAAGATGTACCTCATGACAGTGTGTACGTACGATTGTTCGGCTGTGACAGGTGCGGGATTGTGCTTGGGTATGTGGCCACGGATTGAGTCAGCACGGGGCTGTGTGACAGTGTAACCTGTAGCTCTGATGTCTCTGCTGCTCCTCTGCCTTCACGGCCCAACCGTGTTGTACTTGTTTGGGCACAGCAGCCCCAAAGGGAGGTCAGAGCCTGAACCCTGTAATGACGATGACTAACAAGAACGGCACAGACATCGTCTTGAGATGGCAATTTTAAAGCTGAAGGTGCTTTCCATTCAGGCTGCCTGACTGACAGGATGCAAAAGCCTCAAGAATAATATTCATTTTTTGGAGGGGAGAGGCCCCTTACCTGGGAGGTGGGGGAACCCCGATTACTAGAGCCTAGTCTCCAGGAATCTCTGAAATACTCAGATCTCAGTGCCCTCTGATTTCTGATTGATTTTAGATAAGACATGGGACCAGGTGTCCTTAGAGAATATTTTCTGATGTTGTCTGTGCCAGAAAGGCCCTAGTGTCTCATTCTGTCCTCCTCTTTCCTCCAGGCCAGCGATCCTCCAGAAGAGGCATCTTGAGGAGGAAGAATTATCACACCTTTTAAGATCAAGGTTCCTGTGAGTTATTTTTTTGTTCAGTAAATGATTTGTGTTTATAGCGTTTAAGAATATGTGCTTTCCTTGGCCCAAAGTGTCCTCCCTAATAATGACTTATCCAGTAATTTCTTCCCAAGAGTCCTGCAGTATATTCGCCAGAGTATTCCCCACTGACCAGCCCTCTCCAGTGAGTATTTACATATTCATTTGGCAAATTGTTTACATCCTCCTGTGTGGGCTTCTGAGAATCCGCATAGGATAGAGGAATACTACTGGGAGGTTAATGTTAGCACTTCTGGGGTGTGATTTGGTAAGGGAAAATAATAATTTTTAGGTGGAATCAAATGCTAAGTATCTTTGGTCTTTTCCACAGGGCTGACCTTCAGAATGCAGTAAGAAAGAAGGTTTGATCATTTTAGTAAATCACAAAGGTATCAGCTTTATGAGGCTTTTAAGAGTAGGGTTTGACCAGAAATTGACATAACAATGTAAACTGACTATACTTCAATAAAAAAGAATGCAAAAATAAAAAGAAGAAGAGGAGAAGGATTTGGGCAAAGATCTTTATCATTAAAGGCAGGGTTTTTTTTTTTGTAATCAATAAGTAGAAATTTGTTGTATTAGCCCGGTGTTATTTGAGGTCTGACAGTTTCAGTTGGTTTCAGCTACATTTTTGTGTGAACAATGAAAAGCAGTATGGTTTGATTTTGAATATGAGTCCTGGATCTAGAGCAGGGTTTGTGAAAGGTCACATGTTAAGTATTTGATGCTTCGTGGGCAATGTATGATTGAATATTGATTTTCTTTTTTTGATAGATTTTATTATTTAGAATGGTTTTAGGTTTACAGAAAAATTGCAAAGATAGTACGGAGAATTCCAAAGTACCCTGCAACCAGTTTCTCCCATTATTAAGAACTCATGTTAGTATGGGGGATTAGTTGCAATTAGCCAGTTCTGAAACATTATTGTTAACTGAAGTCCATGCTTTTTTCAGATTTCTTTAGTTTTTCCATAATGCTTTTCATCTGTTCCAGGATCCCATCCAGGATACCACATTACATTTCATTGTCGTGTCTCCTTTTAAGAGCCTCTTGGCTCTGCTAATTTCTCAGACTTCCCTTGTTTCTGATAACCTTGACAGTTTTAAGAGGTACTGGGTAGGTGTTTCGTTAAGATGCTGCTCTACTGGAATCTGACGTTTTCCTCATAATTAGACTGTGTTTATGGGTTTGGGGGTGGAAGATCACAGAGGTAAATTACCACTTTTATCACAGTCCATGCTCTATCTGTCTGCAACCTATCTCCTCTTTAATGTAACGTAACATATTCACAGGTTCAGGCTTAGGACATGGACATCTTAGGGAGACTTGTTACTCCACCCACCACAGGCCTGTCTTTAATAACTGCAACATGCCTGCCCCCCATAACTGTAGTCCTTTTCTTTGTTAATTTTTTTTAATTTGGAATTATCTTCAGGTATATTTCTTACAGTGGGATTAATGCAGGCCTGCTGGAAAAAATTCAGTCTTCTAAGGAGCTTATAAAGAAGAAACACAAAATTACCCATTACTGTACCTTCCAGAGATAATTAATATTGATATTTTGGTGTGTATGTTTTCCAGTCTTCCCCTCTCCCTCTAAGCATGTGTGTGTGGTTTTGTTTCTGGAGCACTGAATCCTGCTAATTGGTCTATAATGAGCCAAAGACTCTCCAGATCTTAGTTTGTAAAAAGACTCCATCTCAGCCAAGGGCCAACATTATACATGTGTGCAAGAAGAGAGGGGAGAGGTGTGCCAATGATCCCCTTCTTGTTTGAAAAAAATCTCTCACATATTTACACCTTAAAGGATTAGAGAGACATCATTTGAAACTAATCCCATGGCAACAAATTATCAAGAAAGACAGACTTTCAAAGTTAGATTTTTCTAGGAAGGGAGGGTATAGCTCAGTAGTAGAGTACGTGCCTAGCATGCGTGAGGTCCTGGGTTCAATCCCCAGTACCTCCATTAAATAGATAGATAGATAAATCTAATTACCCCCCCAAAAAAAATACATTTTGAAAGTTAGGTTTTCTAGGACTTAAATCCCCAGGACTTAAATCTATAGATAGATAGATAGATAGATAGATAGATAGATAGATAGATAGATAGAATTGCCCCCCCAAAATTTTTTTGTTAAGTTTGATTTTCTAGGACTTTAATATTTCTTTCACAGAACATGACGGTGATCACTGATGCATAATAAATGGACTGTCCAAGTAACATTTCCATAGGCAGATATATGGACAAAATATGACAGTTTAAAATGTTCACATAAATCTTCGTTATCACATAAAGGACAAGATTCAACCACTTAACTAATGTTCTCAGTTTGGCATCTTCAGTTTAGGTTCTTTGAGCTGGATTTTTAATGTAGAACCATGTCTGTCCCTCTTTTGCTGATGGGGAGGGAATACTTCCTCCTTATCTATCTTAGACTTTTTTTGCTACTGTTAATTAAAAAGAATTCATTCTTAAGAGGCTCTGGAAGTTTTTAGTGAACAGTGATTATATGGACAGCAGGTTTGAGAAGTACGTATTTTAGCATGAGGAAAAGGGGAAACAGCAGGCTTGAGTTTGTTTTACAAAAACAAAGGGATGTATAATCTTATTGATCTTAAATCATAGCAGCTAACTTGAGTTAAATAATTATTACATGTTATTGTGTTTTATGTAGATGATCATCTTAATAGTTGAGAAAGTCATACCTGGTAGGTACAGTTTTTATCTGAGTCTTACCTGCAGGGGAACAGATCCTGGAGGTTAGTAACTGTCAGAGCAAAGATTCACATCCTAAAGTCAGACCACAGAGCCTTGTACTTAACCTCACCAAGACCTCTTGTCCCAAATTATGTACACCTTTTTAAACATACCTTCTCCACTTGGTAATTCATCTTAAATTTCTTTCTCAGTTAATATGAATCAATATCATTACTGGAACATATATATTATGCCATTATAACAGACCATAATCTATTTAATCTACCCTCTACTGTGAGATATTTATATTTCTACTTTTTTCAATTTTTTAAATGATTCTCTGGAAACCCTGAATAAAACTGATGGATCATATCAATGTCAATGTCCTGGCTGTGATATTTTCCTATAGGTTTGCAGTATATTTTGCCATTGGGGTAAACTGGGAAAAGAGTACACAGGATCTCTGTATAATTTCTTGCTTATAAATGTATAATTATCTCAATTTTTTTTAAAAAGTGTCCCATTTAAATGTTCTGTGAACATACATATATTTGTTCCATATTCATGTTCTTTTCCTTATAGATTGCTACAAGATACTGACTATAGTTCCCTGTGCTCTACCGAAGAAACTTGTTGTATATTAACTCAGCATTTAATAACCAGTACAACAGCAATGTAAAACATGTACTTTTGCAGTCAGCTTTCCTGGACCCAGACACTGCCTGGGCAGTTCCTTCTCCACCCTGTCCACCTGCTGTCTTGACCGACATCACCCTATCTAGAGGCCAGAGGAGCTTCGAGTTTGCATGGCGCAGCCCCTCTCCACCCTGAGTGGTGTGACTAAAGGGGGCAGGATGTTCTCAGTGAGACTCAGCACCCTCAACACAGCCAGTCTCAGGTCCAAGCCGCCGCCCCTCTTCCCAGACTTAGCCGGCCTCACAGTGACGTTTGATGCCACAGTCTCCACACAAGACCACCCTCAGTTCTGATGGTAACTGCAAATCCAAGAGTTTCCCTCAACCCCCTTCAGGTTTAATAATTAGGACTGGAAGGACTCAGAACTCACTGAG